AACCCTGCACTTGTTTTACTAGTGCACCGTGAAGACGACCAAGACACGACTCTGGTCGCACACTCGGCCGGGGAGGGTGGTACCACGGATGCAGGCTGTGGACAGCGTTTCCGCGTGCACGGAGGTGTGGGGCTTATGGAGAGGCCAGTGTTCTTTCTAAAGTTAGTTAGTGGGCATTTGGCTGGTGCTTATATTAGTTTCTGTATCTTTTACAGAAATAAATGAAACAAAAAATGTTCAGACAGCTTTCCTAATGTTTTCCCTTATAAGGAGGAAAATGAGCTTTAAAAGGGAGGACAAAGGATGCTCTTTATGTAACTGCTACGAGATGGACTTGAGCGTGTGACAGATAAGTGACTGGGTGTTGACTGCCTGCTCTGTGCCAGGCCCGATGCTGGGTGCTTCCCATGACGCGGGTTAATTTCATCCTCAGAGCAGCATGAGGAAGTCGAAGCACAGCTAGAACGCCCCGGCACTGGGTTCCGCCCGCGAGCGCGGGGCTCCCGAGCGTGTGCTCTTCCCACTCCACTGTGTGGCCCCCACACCTGCGTTGGGGGGCCACACCCCACAGGGTCGCCTGGACGTGGGGTCTGGATGTTACCCGAGACCACCCTACCGGCTCTGCGTGCCGTGCGGAAAACTAGTGGAGCGAGATATCAAAGCTTCAATAATTGATGTGTTGAAAATGACAGTTGTTTATTCTCTTTCCGTGGAAAATTAGAATTTTCTGTGTCTTGCCGTGGGAATGTTGGAAAGGAACACTTTCTTTCTTAGGCGCAAATTTTGTCTGACACTTCATGTATGTTTAAAGTATGTTCGATGTCCCAAAATAGCAATGAGGAGACTCTTGACGAGAATTCCGTGGGGTGGCAAAGGAAGGGTGAGTCATTAACAGAGCCTGGGAGATTCTGAGCCCAGTGAGAAAGGGCCCGTTTCCCGAGCCAGCGACCCTACCTGCCGTGGAAGTGAACCGCCAGCAGAAACGGCCCCACGGGAGAAGCCAGAATGTGATTTGTTTTTTTAACTGTATAAACTTTGAAGCAGAAAGGTCAAGTCTGCCTCTTGTGATAGGGCATGTTGCCAGGGGCTGCCAGCTTCAGGGGGACCTGGGGCCCATTGACGATGTGGGGTTGACACAGAAAGATTCCCTGTACAAACATGGAGGCCACACCTACCATGCCCAGACACAACTATGACGTGGGGACAGGGCAGGATGGGGCGTGCACTCACCCTGCCCTGTGCCCTGAGGCCACCCCGCCTGTTCACTCACCAAGACTCCTGTCACACTTCTCCCAGGAAGCCCTCCTTGCTTTGCCTCTCCCCCTCCCGGTTATTTCCCCAGCATGCACTGGGCACACACTCTGGCACATTGTACATCAGCTGTTGGCGCATCTTGCCTTCAACTAGACAGTGAACTCCTGGAGGGGCCGTGGGGTCTGGTTTATTTATTTTTTGATTTTTGGCACCGTGCTTGGCACATAGACGCTTAGGAAATGGCACTTTGGATATTCAAGTAAGTGAATGAATGGCCAACTTCTCACTCAGACTAACCACTGGTAAGAATGGCTTTCACTTCCCTCGGGAGTGAATGAGCCTCGGCAACCATCAAATGTGCCTCAGGTGCACCGAACAGAGAGAAACAGATTTGAGGCTTGACTCTGAACTTCCAGGGGCTCAGAGCCTCGTGGGCCAGCCGAAAAGGGAACAAGGCATCAGCGAGATCATGGCAGAATGGTCTTCAGTCCCCCAAGGATTACTGTCCCCAAGGAGAGCCGGGTGAAAAATCACCTCTTCCTACTCAGGGGCTCATGGCCTAGGTGTTGAGCAAATGAGACACAGACTCTGCCCTCCAGGAGGCTTATTAATAGCGGGCAGTTATGGGAACATGTGTTTGGAACAGTGGGTGCTCAGTCATACTTAGTGGGCCACGCTGGTCACTGGTGTCTGTGCGTTCATCCCCTGGTCTGGGCAGCCTGTGTTCAAGGAGGAAGAGGAGGGTGTGGTCGGGGCATCGCGTGTGCAGAGGAAAGGAATGAGGGAGAGTTTCGGGATGGATTGGAACAGGTTGAAAGCCAAGGCAAGGGACCGGGAGGGGGTTAGGGTAGAGGCCCGGATTGAAGAGGCACCAGGGAGCCGGTATCCCTGGGAGGTGAGAGCAGCGCCACCTGCAGGGGAGTTAAGAAGTGATGGACTCTAGAGGCCTAAACCTCGAGCCCTTTCCAGCCCCTCCAGGACCCAGGAGCCACCTGCACACGCCTGCCACTCTCTCTGGCCTTCTTGCTGGAATTTGCGAGCCGCCCGCAGGTGGCTGTCCTCCAGGCCACCACTCCCGTGGGGGAGACCCTGCTCCTGGTGCCACGCTTCCCTTCCTCCACCAAGACTTACCCCTTCTGCTCCCCTTTGTTTATGCTGCCTTAGAACTTTCCACCTGAATCTCATATTTTAGCGCTTTCTTATATTTAATAAAGGTTTATTCAATCAACAAATCCTCATTGATTGAGTGGCTACTAAATGGCAGGCACTGTGCTGCCCTGTGGACGTAGCAGGGGAGACAGCAGTAGGCAGGTTATTGGGGAAGTGCCGTAAAGTGACATTTATGGCACCGTAGATGGAGACTAACTGGTGTCAAGGGACGCCTGTCTGCGGCGGTGACAATTAAGCTGAGGTTTGAAGGATGAGAAGGAGGCGGCCATCTGAGCGCCGGTGGAGGGAGCTTTCGAGGCAAAAACAACACGGCACGAAGGCTCTGGGTCCAGAAGGAGCTGGGGGTCTTCTAGAAATTGAAATGGAAATGACAGTGGAGAGCAGGGCAGGATACCGATCATGGAGGTCCGAGGGCCACGGAGGGGTTCAGGGCTCAGTGGGGGAGCGGTGGGGAGGCTCTGCGGGGCTGAGAGCGAAGGGAGAGGCGGCCTGTGTGCAGCTCTGCGCGTAGTGGATGAGGAAGGAAGGGCGGAAGGAAAGACCAGCTGGGCAGCTCCAGCTGCAACGGGGTGGCCAGGGCCAGAGGGGTGGCAGCAGAGGTGGAGAGCCACGCCTGGTCTGAGAGACACTCGGGGGCGGCCACACTGAGGCACTGGTGGCGAGGACAGAGGGAGAGGAGGGGCTCAGAGAGCATCCCTGGTTCCCAGGGGAGCAGGCGGTGGGGGGGGGGGGGGGACTTCCATTCAGCGAGATGAGCCCAGCATAGGGAAACAGAGGCAGGGGCCCACTGGGGACGGGAGGCCAAGGAGAAGAGGTCCCTTGCACACGTACTAAGTTGGAGGCAACGGTGAGTCATTCCCGTGGAGGTGCTGGGCCGTCAGAGCGTAAATGTGGCGCCGAGAAGAGTCCAGCATGGAGGTGGACGTTTGGAAATATGAATGGGATCCGGACCTGGGGCTGCGATACAGTTCCTCTGGCAGCCCCCGAGGGCTGCAGAATAGTGCCCTCGAAGCACAGGACTTACAACAACAGCTGTTTACTCTCACTGTCCTGGCGGCTGGAAGTCTGAAATCCAGGGGGCGGTAGGAGCATACTTCCCAAGGCCGCTGCGGGGTGATCCTTCCTTGCCTCTTCCCCCCGCTGCTGGCCCCAGGCCCTCCTCGGCTGGTGGCAGCACAACCCCAGTCTCTGCCTCCGTCTCCACCTGGCTGTCTTCCCTCTGTGTCTGTGTCCCAGTTTTCCCCTTCCCTGTAAGGACACCCGTCCTGTTGGCTGAAGGGCTCACCCTACTCCAGTGTGACCTAATCTTTGCTAATTACATCTGCAATAACCCTGCCCCCAAATAAGTCCCATTCTGAGGTGCCGGGGCTTAGGGCTTCAACATGTCTTTTTTGACATTTGACACAATTCAACCCATAACAGTTAACCTAGAACAAGGATGGAAAGAGAGGAGACATGGGGACCCAGGGCGTTGCCATCACACAGCAGCTGCTAGAGGACAGGCCAGCAACGGGAGAAGCAGGACAGCTGTGGGAGCACGTGGTGTCGTGAAAACCACACCATGTGTTTCCAAACGGGAAGGTCAGCCGTGGGAGAGAAATACGGTTGTGCTCTCGGGTCACAGAGCTGAGAAGCTGACCCATGGATGCGACATGACAGCATGGCCCTGGGGGTCTGGATGGGCACAGCCCCTGAGTAGAGTCCAGTAAGAGACGGGCGGGAAGACCGGGGGTGGGGGGGTGCAAAGGGGTGGAATTGCAGAAGACCACCCTGAGGTTTGGCTGAAGGGGCAGGAATAGGGCGACACCTACAGGGGCATGGAGGGCTGGAGAAACGGTTTGCTTTTGTGTTTGCTTTGCTTTGTTCTTGCATGCTGTTTTCTTTCTTAAAATGGGAGATGCGGGAGCATGCTCGTATGCTTGAATTCCTCTGTCTTCATGTCCCCGTGTCTGGCTGGTATACCAGTCCTATATTCAACCTCAGTTGTTACGTGTGCTGGTGTTGCCATCCCAGCGCTGGGGCCCCTCGGGGACAAGAGTCTGTCTTTTATCTCTCTCTTCCCCCAACCATCTAGCCTGACACTTGAGCATTTGTTCATTATGGTCACAGCAAGAGAAATATCCTGCTGTACATATCCTGCTACCGTGCATAGATGCCACTTTATGTTCTAGTAGAAAACGGACAGAGGGGCGCCTGGGTGGCTCAGTCAGTTAAGCGTCCAACTTTAGCTCAGGTCATGATCTCCTGGTTTGTGAGATTGAGCCTCACATCAGGCTGTCTGCTGTCAGCACAGAGCCTGCTTGGGATCCTCCGTCTCCCTTTTTCTCTACCCCTCCCTTGAAATAAATAAACTTAAAAAAAAAGGGAGGAAATGGACCGAGAACGGTCTTCATAGGCCCTGTTCACGTAACATCAGTTGACAAAATCCCTGTCTAGTGTTTCCTGCCAGTGAACACCACTGAAGCATCAGTCTTGTGTGTTGGATTCTGTCTTGCACGTCCTCAGGGAACAGAAACTGGGAAGCGGATTTCCACTGGTTCCAAATGGCCCGCTTAGGGGTCTGAGAACCCGGTGCAAGGGTCCCCGTCACAGGAATAGGGAGACAGAGGTGTGGAAATGCTTGTCCTGTGTCAGCAGCCTGCCAGAGGGGGGCTTCGCAGGAGCCAGGACAGGTCATCTTCTCTGGAGAAGAGGTCTGAGTCTCCATGCGGGGGGCGGCAGGTGGACACGCCAGCTCTAGAGCAGAGAGGGCAGAAAGGGAGGCATGTTCTGACACATGTAATAAGAGTGTGTTGTTTTCTCTGGCACATTTTTTTCAGATAGCCCCTTCTCTTCCAAGGGATTGTTTTTTAAATAAACCAAAACCATCTCTAGAGAGATTGCATTGCTAGAGGCAGTCTGCAGTAATCTCATCACTCGGTGCATCACTGAGACTGAGGTGACTGGAAGGTGACTTCCAGGTGACTCTGGAAGCCCTGGTGTGTGGGGACGACCCTGGACACAGTGACCTAGGCCAGTTACGGGGTCGAAGGCCCCACAACATAGGACAGTCCAGCAGAGACGAACCCTAGAACCAGCAGGGCATCCCCGGTGCCCCAGCGCCAGAGGGGCAAGAACAGCCTCCTGTGTCACACACGCAGTCAGCGCCTGGGACCGGAGGTCACAGAGACCACAGAGCTAGGGCGCAGCACCAGGCGGAACCTCTGGGCCAGCAGTGAGCAAACAGGGAAGAGCCATTAAGTAGGGCCAGAGGCAACGTGCACCACTCCCCACCCCCCGCCACACACACACACAGTAACTCCCCCAGACCAAGCCTGGGAAGACCCACCCAGCCCTGGACTCTGGCAAAAGGATGTTGTGCGTCCAGACTAATGACCGGGGCGCTCTAGAAGCAGCTGGCAGCCGTGCTGAGTCTCTGGCCCTAAGGAGACTGAAAAATCAAGACGTTGTAACAAAACATGTTGGTTTTTATTTGTTTTTCAACGTTGTTGTGTAGAGAAAAGAGATTAGCAACGAGAGCAAATTTAAAAGAGTAATGTAGGGAGATGCTTTTTAGGTGGGGAAAATTCAGCTTAAGTGGGGCTCTTGTGACTGCAGCCTCCCGGCCCGCCCCCCGTGCCGGCTGGTGAAGACCGCCCAGACAGCCGCCTCGCCAGCTCCCACCGCTCACCTGCCAGGCTCCTGAAAGGGTAGGAGAGTGGCGTCTTCTGGCATTGCTTAATCAAGTGGGAAATTTACAGAGAAAACAGAAGCTGGGCTAATGCATTTCATTATCAGCCGAGCGCCTTGAGCCACATTTTTTCAAAGCTGTGTTCATCTCTCATACTTTTGAACGTGGTTTTCTCCAAAATGTACCCCTACTTCATCATGACACATTCTTAGAAAAGAAAACGCACTCTGTGGTCTCCTTGGCTTTCATTACTAACTACATGTGAAAATTTCCCTCTGCGTTTAGGTGGTTTCCTTCGGAAGCTCCAGCCCGTAACCCTGTCTGTCGTGTGAAGGGGCAGAACCCTACAGGCAGGGATGGGTTTATACTGGAGTTCTGACTGGTACCCAGACCATGGAGTCATGAACAGCGCTCTACAATTGTAATATCTGAAGACATTTTAGGAGACTAACGGTTTTAGAAGCTGATGATTAAAAAAAAATAGTGTTTCCTTACAAAAGCGTGATTCAGACTCCTCAGAAGGGGGATCATTGGCATTAACGAATATTGGATTTTATCTCCTTACTCTGGGTAGAGGCGACTGGTTTTCTATATTACTGCAAATAGAACACCTATATTTCAGAATTCCTTTGTAAAAACTGGGCATTCTCTAAGATGGGTTTCCTGGGTTTTCAGTTACAAAAGGCAACTCCCAGGCAAACCCCAGGAGAGATTTCCAGGTTATTTGCTCATCTGGCTGGAGCATAATGGTAATGAAGTCCACGGATGCGCTCGCTGGTAGGCCTCTCCTGGAGCCACAGACCTAGCCTTCGTCTCGGCCAGCCGTCTGACTGCGCTCCCTGCCCACGGGAAGGACCAAGGCCAAGGATGGAGGGATCGCTGCCACACAGTGCAAGAGCCACGGGCCCTTTGGAGGGGGCGGTAGTGGCGGCCTGGATTTGAAAGATAGGATTTGATGTAGCGTTCACATAGAAATGGCCGCCTGCACTTCCCACTTGCTAATGGTGTCTCCCCTTCTTCCTTTCCAGGGCCCCTGAAATCATCCTTGGTTTACCCTTCTGTGAGGCAATTGATATGTGGTCCCTGGGCTGTGTCATTGCTGAGCTGTTCCTGGGCTGGCCGCTCTATCCAGGAGCTTCCGAGTATGATCAGGTGCGTCCAGATAGCTCAGGTGGTCGCAGTAAGCACGCCCTTTACAGCATGACACGTGGATGGGGTTGTAGGGTGTTTCCTTGTCTCTGAAACCTTACTTCCCGCACCTGTGCTTTTCTCTTATTCCTCTTTCTTTCCCCTCTTTCTCCCATTACTTCTTTCTTTCCCTATAAAATTGTCATTTTTCTCAAAGGCACTAGAGCCGTTAGTACACCATATGTATGGTGACAGGAAACGCCCTGACCTCATTCTCCTCTTTTCTTGCAGATTCGGTATATTTCACAAACACAGGGTTTGCCAGCTGAATATTTATTAAGCGCAGGGACAAAGACAACTAGGTTTTTCAACCGTGACACAGACTCACCATATCCTTTGTGGAGGCTGAAGGTAGGAAGAGCATCCGCACCGCTCCTCACCCGTGCCCAGCACTCAGGGAGGAAGGGCACCGTCCACTTGGCGGGAGCTCTTGCCGTCGGCACGCTGATCCAGCGCTTCGCTTTGTTCAACCGGCAGCCCGGGGGAGGGGGCGACCGTTTTTGATACATGAGGTGCATGAATTTGAATGTCCAAAAGCACCACTTTGCTTGGCCGGCTGCCTGCGAAGCTCAAATCCCAAGTTCCGGTGGCTAAACTCCTGGGATTTAATCCCAGCGAATCCTAATGACTTGTCGGGTGTGTGCTAGAGACAGAATGAGCCACCCCGTCTTCCAGGATCTGCTAGTCCAGAGATGCATGCGGGGAGCCCAAGCCCCCCACCCCACCACCCTGCCATCACACGTGCCCTGCTGCTGGTAGGAATAGAGCGGGGTGCCAGGAGGAGCATTTGAGGGGGGCCCTAAAAGGTGAAGAGGGTCTTCCAGGCAGAGGAAACAGCGTCAGCGAGGTGACAGCCTAAGACTCCTGAGGGGGCTGTCCCAGCCGGCAGGTGGTATGGCGCACCCCTGTACACCATCACCTCTTGAGTGGTTTTACTTTAACGGAAACATATTTTGCTTTCACTTTGATCTGTGCCTAGTAATTAGAATTAATGTATTTTCCTGGGAAGGAGAAGATAATGCAAGTCTCAAGTATACTTTGTGCTCATTTTAGGTGTTTCTTTTTCTTTTTTTTTTTTTTTCTTTTTTTTTTTGCAAGAGAGCGGGTGAGGGTTTTTTGTTTGTTGGGGTTTTTTTTGTTTGTTAATCTGTTTGACAGAAACCACAGCCAAAATCTAATACGATTTAAAGATAACGTGTGGCCAATAGTTGCAGAAGATTTAGAAAAGAGATTTGAGGGCGAAGCAAGCATTCTAAGGGTATTGATGAGAGGGCTGGCATTTGGCACCTGTGAGAATGAGCAGCTCAAGGTCAGGTCCAGTAAAAAAACGAGTTCGGGGCTGGAGGAGGGTGAGGCCAGGCAGGGGCAGGGTTCACTTTTATGTCTCCAGCTGGGGCCTCAGTCCTACTTGTCCAGCTGTTTCTGGGATCAGAGCCTGGATCCTAGCACTTCAGATATGCCACCCTTGAGTGAGGATATGAGGATTAATTACCTGTGGTCCACAGGTGCATCCAGAACCCACAGTAACTGGAGACAGCAGCCCCCTAGACCGAGGCCAGTGCAGGCACCATACGTGCATGGCCCAGTCCCAGGCGGAGGGGCAGCACAGAACAGACGCCGGGGCCAGATGCCACCTCCTAGCCATGCGGCCTCAGCGAACTCCCTGAGCTTGCCATTCCTCTTTCTCCCTCTGGAAAGTGGGTCGGTGATCGTCCTCCCTAGGGTGGTTGTAAACAGCACCGAATGAGTTCTTGTGCCTTAGAATAGTGCCTGGCATGCAGTGAGAGCCATCTTTACGAAAGTTTGAGAAACAAAAGTAAATTACAACTTAAAACCATATGGAAAAGGGCTTCTGCTTTTCCACATGTGGAATCTTACCTTATCCCTTAAACTTAGGGGAGAATGTAGGGTTTTCAGGGAGAGCGTATCTTGGTCATCTTGGAACCCCTGGATCTGATTCAGAGCAGGCTCTCGACAGGTCTTGATGGGAAGGAAAGAAGAGAGATGAGTTAGTGTGGAGGATGAAGAAGGAAAGCAGTTGAGTGCACAGGTCACTTTAAGAAGAATCAGAGTGTCCTCTGAAAGATGGGAAAAGACCCTCCATAAGAAGCAGGAGCTCCAGGGTCTGAGTCACGGGACCAGGAAATAATTCACATGACCACAAAGCTTTTGCCTCTTTTGACCAGACACCAGATGACCATGAAGCAGAGACGGGGATTAAGTCGAAAGAAGCAAGAAAGTACATTTTCAACTGTTTAGATGATATGGCCCAGGTAAGCCCCATGGGTGAGTACGATGAGCTGAGAATAAGCGATGTTACCCCTCCAAAATCACGCACAGCGAGAGTTCTGCATAATAGAAGATGGCGGGCAGAAATGCACATTACTCAACTGCAGTGGTTGACCTTGACCTTGACCTTGAACAGTGACATGCCACTCGTAGTAAGAAAACCACTGGGTGGTGGAACATTTTCAGAACCTTACAGCAGCTCTTTACTGGTTCCCATTTGTAAAAGAAAAAAAAGTACTAGCCAATCTTACTGATGTTCTCATGAGAAGAATTCAAGCTCAGTAGTACATTCGAGTCTAATGCCCACGACTCGGTGTATTAGCTCCCCGGGACTACCATAGCAACCTACTGCGCACTGGGTGGCTTCAGACAGCAGACACAGGTATTCTTCCACAGTTCAAGAGGCTAGAGATTTGAAATTAAAGTACCACTAGGGCCATGTTCCCTCTGAAAGCTCTAGAAGGAAACTGTCCTGTGCCTCAGTCCTAGTGTCTGCTGGCCTCTGGCAGTCCTCAGTGTTCCTTGATGTGTAGCTGACTGACCCCAATTCATCCTAATTTCCTGTGGCCTTTATTCCTGGGTTTCCTCTTGTGTCTGTGCCCAAATGTCCCTCATCTTTCTCTTATAAAGATACCAGTCACTGGATTTGGGACCCACCATAGGGTACTCCAGTTCACCGCAGGGACCATAGGCTCTCTCCTTTGTGCCCAGAGAAAATTCTAGAACTTCAGCTGTTTTTAGTGTAAGAACTAGTCTAAAATCAGGGCAACCCAAAGAGTATTTCCTAAAAGCAACAAGAAGGAAAGCCATAGACCAGGAAACACTAAGCACACTTCCTCCTAAGGGTGAGTGGAACCAAAAATCATGATTCTGAGTAAAGGGTGCTTGTTGGTTGACTGGAAGCTGAGATTGTCTGAGAAAACTGAAATTACTTTCCAGAGCATGCCTTGGAAAATAATAGAAAGCACCACAAAACAGGCCTTTCAAAAACAGTCCGAGGCTTACTCTTGGAAGAAAAATCCTGGGTTCACATACCCCGCTTATCTTGGCCAGAGGTGAGCCCAGTGAACACAGGGGCTAAAACACTTCTGGCACTAACACAGGGCACTTCCGGAGACAGATACGCTGTAGACGGAGGAAGAGGTCACGCTGGCCTCTGAAGGTTAAATACATAACCCTTTTTGCATGTCATTGTTTACAACTTGGTTGTCGTTATTGTTTTTCTATTGTAAAATATACATAGCATAAAACTGGAGCGCCTGCACGGCTCTGTCCCTCAGGCTGCTGACTGTTGTTCTCAGCTCAGGTCTTGAGCCTCAGAGTCTTGAGTTCAAGCCCCGCGCTGGACTCCTCACTAGATGTGGAAACTACTTAAAAAGAGAAGGAAAAAAACTGACCATGTTGACCATTTTTAAGTATATAATTGAGTAGTATCAAGTATAACCCCATTGTTATGCAACGAATGTCTTTCCACCTTGGGATTATTGTTCACGCGGTGTGACATGAAGTACATTTCAATTTAACTGATGGAAGCAGGCACAGGGCACGGCGTGTCACGTCTTTGTATTTTCTAGCACAGGCAGTGACCCGCCCCCTCCCCCACGCATGGCCACCGTCCACCTTTCCTGCAGAGGACTCGGCCGTAGTCTGTAGGCAGTAACAACCTGTAGCAGTGCCTGCAGCAGGACCCACGCAGCCTTCTGGACACTGGGCAGGGGCGGCAGAGATGGGGATGGAGTCCCCGGCAGGGACGAAGGGAAGGGGGGGGGACGGGCGGCAGAGCGGGGTTTTGGTAACCTGTGCCTATTTGCCCCCAGGTGAACATGACAACAGATTTGGAAGGGAGCGACCTGTTGGTGGAGAAGGCAGACCGGCGGGAGTTCATCGACCTGTTAAAGAAGATGCTGACCATTGACGCTGATAAGAGAATCACTCCAATCGAAACCCTGAACCACCCCTTTGTCACCATGACACACCTACTCGATTTTCCCCACAGCACACAGTAGGTGTCTTGATGCTTTTTACCAGCGGTCAGCAGACTTTTTCTTTAAAGCCTCAGATAGTAAATATGTTGGGCTTTGCGGCCATATGGTCCATGTCACGACCACTCCACTCCACCATTATAGCCGACAGGAGCCGGAGCCCATAGGGAAACCGATGAGGGAGGCTGCATTTCAATAAAATGTTATTTGTAGAAACAGGTGGCAGCCAGATTGGGTGGCCCTAGGCCACACTTTGCTTTACACCAAAAAACAGGGAACGGGAGAGCATGGGAGAGCTCAAGCCTGGGTGAACCCCACCCTGGGGGTCGTTGCATAAATGGGGTGCTGACAACGGCAGCGCCCGGAAAACAAATCCATTTTCGGTACCAGAGGTCACTCCCAGAATGTTCTAGTTTGGATTTGGATTTGCTCATCCATGCATTCATCCAACGCAGTAGGCTTGTGCTGGAGTAGAGCACAGGGCAGAGCAGACGGGGCCCCTGCCCACAGGGGCTTCCAGTCTGTGGGTGAGGGAAAGACATCACTTGGGTGAGCCCCAAAGAAGCGGCTGTGACCAGGGAAAGTGGGCTGCAGTGGGGACTGGGCAGGGCGGCCCCTAAGGAAATGACCACTGAAGGAGGAGCTACAGGTCACCAGTGAAAAGGCCAGCCAGGGCGGAAAGGGCACTGCCCTCGCGGTGACTCCCAGCACAGGGCCTAGGGTTCGGATGGAAGGGAGGCCTCGGGATGAGCCAGGCAAGGCCCCATGTTAAGGGTTTGGGTCTTCGTCCTAAGAGCAGTGCAAGTCACAGAGGGACTTCTAAGCCCGGGATGGCTGGTTAGGGCCGCATTTGACAGAGACCTGCCTGGTGCTGCACCATCAAGTCAGAGAAGCCTGGGGAAAGTGCCCGTGAAGGGAGGCACCGTGAGAGCTGCCCGTGGCCTGAGAGAGCTGTCTGAGGGGAAGCAGCGGCCGGCTGAGCAGGCTGCGGAACTGGGGGGAGGCGAGGGAGAAATGGAAGCCAGTAGAGGGCCCGAGGGGCTGATACAAAGGGACCCGAGCAGTTCAGGATGCTGGTGGGAAGTGTCTGCAGGGCGCGGGATTGAAGAGAAGGATGCAGAGGTTTCCAAGAGGCCGGGAG